GTGTATATAGAATAATCATCGTTATACCATTTCTTTTCATTTTCTTTTAATGTTTTCATTAACTTCTTTGTTTCTGATGTCAATATTGATTTAAATTTATTATGAATCTGAAAAATGTTTCTTTTTGCATAAAATTTTATACAATAATTTTATGATAATTTTACTTATACATTACAAAATATAACACTATATAAAACTCATAATTAAAAACTATATACCATAGTAGAATTATTCTCGATTATATTATGACTGACAGAAATGGAGTAATCCTCAAAATGATTTTTATAATGCCTAGTAGTATCCATGACAGTTTCCATAAATTTTATTTCTTTCCGATGTTATAAAACTATACACATATAATAAACTTTAACTTTGACACTCTAAACTCTAAACCATTGAAATATAAAATGCTTTCCAGCAAGGAGACACAGGGTGTTTTCCAGCATGTTACACAGATGACACAATGTAACACACAATATCACATGATTGGCTATCAAATAAAGAAATTTTCGAGATTCTAAAAATTCTCTATTTGATAGCCAATCGTGTGATACTGTGTGTTACACTGTGGCTGCGGTCGGGAAGACGCTAGAGATGCTTCGAAGCATTGCGTTAACCAATTAGAATAAAGAAATTTTTACTCTTTCTGTCCTGATTGGTCAATCAAACGCTTCAAAACATTTCTAGTTTCTAGCGTCATCCCGACCGCAGCCTGTGTCATCTAAAACATAAACGTAACCGTAGAATCAACCAATAACCGGTGTCCGTAGTATTTCAACCAATATGGCTGAAATATTACGGGCGCTCGTTATTTACTACCTGTTGTTGGCCATTATGAGATGAGTGAGAAAACTTGTCCGGTGCCATTATAATTTACGAAGCGAAGTGTACGAGTTCTGGTATTGTAGACACAAAGCTTTAAAGAGAAAGAAAAAAATATTAGATATTTTGATTATTACGATGTATACTATTTCGACGGACGAAGAAAAAAAGATTTTCCACTTTTTAAAATCGCACGGCTGCTGTTTAAGATGTTGTTTACGATTTATTGGATATCGTACATCAGAATGTTATTGCAAGCCTTTTGAATTTGCAGCACGAGTAAGTTTGTTTTTAATAAGAAAAGAAGGAAAATGATATCGAAAGAGATATATATATATCAATATCAATAACAATCTCAATACAAATGATTTAGTTAAATTTATAACCTCACAATTTTGTTATTATATGAAAATATTACTTGAATTTAGAGAGAGAGAGAGAGGAAACAAATTTTCTTGTAAGAATATTGGAGAAGGAAATGTAAAAATTTTAAATTATATAAACCTATGATATAAAAAATAATCTTGTTACATATAAATTTGACTTGGTAAAGATTCATAATGTATTATAGATGGATAATTTTGATACAAGAGATTATATTTCTTCGGAAGAAACACCTTGTGTTGTATGTTTAGGAGTACTTCAAGATAAGACACAAGAAAAAGTAGTGATAAAGGTAAAATATGAAAATAAATACACATTTTTATATATATGTTACTTGATATCTGATGCCTTTTGCAGATAATAGAGGAAGTAAAAAAAAAAGGTTACGATTGTACAACTTTTACTTGTGCATTGACTGTTCCTGTATCAGTGAAACTCAGAGAACATATATTGTATGCTCATATGTCTAAAGAGTTGGACATTCACAAATCTGTTGTAGATGCTCTTAGAACAAGATTACAAAATATCAAAGATACCTGGAAATCATTTATGATTCCAAAACTTGAACAAGCTATGAAAAAATGTGCAGATCTGTTGACACCATCGCCTTTTCTCATTGAGGTTTTCTTAGCGTATGCTAATGATGAAATAATATTTAAAGAATTGTAAGTCACACACATCCTTTTAAAATTTTATGTCATGTAAAACAAGATTAGTGTAATTATGAATGATAAAGAAGATAATTTAAATAAGAGAAAATTGTCTTTTTGTAATAAGGATATTTAATCTATTTTCTATATCTATTTTTTTTTTTTTTCTTATTTGTACTTTCAGAATGAACAAACACAAAGAAGGTAGTAATAAACAAAAAAGAAGAAAATTCAATGATAACATATTTAGTAGGAAGAATATTGAAACTTTACTCCTTGAAACAACGGATGAACAACTTGTACAACATTTTAAAATGTCACAAATTGTATCAAAAATGTTTGTTTCTGTAGACAATATTTTGTGTTCTCATAGCAGTATTTTCATAGGAGGTATCAACATAACTAAAATGATACTAGAGTTATTTATAAATAATTATGGCATAGCATTAAATTTCTTACACAGCTTCACAATTTCAGGATGTTATAACAAATTCTCAAGGAAACTTAGTCAGACTCCCTGGTTCATAAATGGTGAAAAAAAAGTGGATACCTCGGTACAAGACTTACTGTGCAATCTTATTGCTGAAACTATGAAGGCAGAATGTATGATTTGGTTGTGTTTATATTATTATTGTATATGTTTCTATTTTCAACAAAGCTATAAGGTGTTTATATTTGCACAGCAATAAAATTTTTATCATCAGGAAGAGAAGATGTTGACGTACGAAACATATATAGTGGCCGACCATTCGCGGTTGAGTTGGTAAATCCTCGTATGACAAATATTACAAATGAACTTTTAAGACATTTAGCTGCCAATATCAATCAGTCAACTAAACAGGTCCAAATAACATCAGGTTTAAAAGTTCTTTCAAGGTACATTTTTTTAAAACATTTCTTTTAAAATATAATTTTTAAAATCAATTCAATCAAAATAATAAATTAAATTGTTGAGAATGTTGTAAAATA